GGTTCTGAAGGCGGGGCTGAGCTGTTGAAGGCGGGGCTGAGCTGTTGAAGGCGGGGCTGAGCTGTTGTCTCTTGGATGCTGTGCACTCGTGGTACCTGGAGGTTGCCCCACCCTTCTATATCACCCCACTCTAGTGCAGAAATGTAAAGAGCCGCTTGCTCTAGCACACAGAGCACAGGATATGGCGGGAGAAACAAATCCTACCTCTGTTGTTCTGAGCTGTGTGACCCCCAGTGAGCCACACAGCCTCTCTGATCCTGCCTCCTGAGCAGGGAAGGGGGTGTGCTGCCATTGGCACAGTTGGAAAAGCCGAGCTCCTGCCTGTGAGTCAGGCTGTCACTCTCTGCTATGAGGTGAGCAGTAAAGAAGCCAAGCAGGGCTGGGGAAAGGCGGGCACGCCCCAACTGTAATGCTCAGAGCCATGCCATCCCACTCAAACAGTTTTCTGCGTTGCCTCATTTGCTCAGAGTGCAGGGTGTGTGTCAGAGCAAAAGCAACCCACCCAGCACGTCCCCTCCACCAAGGGTGTGTTCTGTGCAGAAGAAGCCCACAGAGACCCCAGCGGGACCCTTGGTGCCGGAGGTGACCACAGATGATGTTTCCGTGCTGATGTGGGCTGGGCTGGCTCTGCTCCGGGAAATCTGGCTTTTTGTACTGGGCTGACGACTATGCGAAGTGGGTCAGAGGGTCTGCGTTCTCTCCTCCCTGGTGATCCAAGGGTCTGCATTTCCCCCTCCTTGTTGGTCCGAGGGTCTGCATTCCCCACTCCTTGGTGGTTCAAGGGTCTGTGTTCTCTCCTCCCTGGTGGTCCAAGGGTTTGCATTCCCCCCTCCTTGTTGGTCCGAGGGTCTGTGTTCCCCACTCCTTGGTGGTCCGAGGGTCTTTGTTCCCCACTCCTTGGTGGTCCGAGGGTCTGTGTTCTCTCCTCCTTGGTGGTCCAAGGGTCTGCGTTCCCTCCTCTTGTTGGTCCTAGGGTCTGTGCTCCCCCATCCTCCTTGGTCCAAGGGTCTGCATTCCCTCCTCGTTGGTCCAAGGGTCTGCATTCCCTCCTCCTTGGTGGTCCGAGGGTCTGCGTTACCTCCTCCTTGTTGGTCTGAGGGTCTGTATTCCTGCCTCCTTGTTGGTCTGGGGGTCTGTGTTCCTGCCTCCTTGTTGGATTGGAAAAACCACTTCAAACAGTCAGGCGCATCCTTGGGAGGTTTCAGAGTCCACGGCAATATGGTGGGTTCACGTCAGGCGCTGGCAGGTGGAGGGAGGGTGCTCACAAGAGGGCAGCTGGTAGGATCCCCTGCGAGGCTGTGGAAGCCCGGCCTCCCTCCCTCCCAAGTCCTGCATTAGTCACTGCTGTGTCTGGAGTCCCAGGTGGCCTTCCTGTGGAGCCCAGAGGCAGCAGAAAAGCCCTGAAGGCTGGAGTGGCTCAGGGCACAGTCAGCCTGTCACAGCCAAGCTGGTGACTCCTCTCCCTCTGCTGAGATTTGGAGCAAAGTAGACAGTGATTTTTCAATTGGGACCAAAGTTCGTGTGGTGTAAAATTTACCATTTTAGGTCTGGGAGATGACTTGGTCGATGAAGTGCCCTGTGAGCATGAGAACCCAAGTTTGATCCCTCCCACCCATGTAAATGTAGTAACATACATCTGATCTCAAAGCTGGGGAGGCAAAGAGGGGAGGGACCCTGGACCTGGGTGGTACTGGCCAGTCAGTCCACTGAATCTGTGAACTCAGGGGCAGCGAGAGACGCTGGCTCAGAAAACAAGGTAGAGAGGGACAGGAAGACAGGAGATGTCGACCTCACCCTCTTCACGCGCACTCACGTAAACACACACACATACACATTCACACACTCACACACACGCACATGCACACATGCACGCACACACTCGTGCACACACATGTATGCATATGCACACACATGCACACTCACATACACATGCACACACACACATGCACAACACACATGCACACTCACTAATGGCATTAGCTGCTGTGAAGTGAGCTTCTTGGTTGGGTTTCATGCAGTCAGTGTTCTAAATATTTCCAGAACATTCCATCACCCCTAGTTAAGCCCTGAGCCCACCCATTGTCCATCTTCACCCTCTCCTCCTGGCCCTTGCTGAGCAAGAGTCCATGTTCCACTTCCAAGGAATCACCTGGTCGGGTGCTTGACCCTCAGACGTGGACTGGGTGGCCTCGGTGCCCAGTGCACTGTTGTCACGGGCCCACTCTGCACCGGTGAGGGCCACAACAGCCTCTCTTTCGCGATTGTTCCTGTGGATTTTCCCTGTTTTCCATAGCCATCCGCAGGAGACGTGGCTCTTTTCACCTTGGAGAGCTGTGAACAGCATTTCTGACGGGGTGGCGTGTCACCATGGGAGCCATCTCCTAGGAGGTGGGAGGTATTGTTCTCTCAGAGGAGGAGGCAGAATGGAGATTTAGGAGCTGCTCAGAGCCACCTCTCCAAATTGCCCTGTGCCTGGGCTGATCCTCAGGGTACCTGGGGAGTGTCCCCAGGGGCCTGGCCCATCTCTGGGGATGGTGAGCCACAGAGCTCTGGGTACCTTGGAAGTCTCAGATCTTACTTGGTGTGCCCTGGGTCAAGCATTCTTATTCAGGTGGGAGGCTGAGGGAGCCCCCGAGAAGAGGGGGTGCAGGTCACGCTTGCCTCTCCTGTGTCCCAGCCCCTCTCTTCTTACCAGGTCTGCTGCAGCTGCTGGCTCTCAGCTGTCCCCAGCCCCCTCTGAGTCTGCTTTCCGCCTTGTCTTGCCAGGGGTGGCAGATCTTGGCCCCTGGCTTGGAGTTCTATGTTCCCTGAAGGTGAAGACTCTAAAACTTGTCCCTACTGGATGAAGCCAGCCCAGCCCACCCTGCCACTCCCAGTGCTTCACCTCCCCCAGAAGTCCTGGTCCCAGACTCAGCAAAGCTATTGCTTTGTCCTTGGCCACCATGTCCTCCCATGCCTCCTGTCTCAGACTTCAGGGACCCCCATCAGACATCCCCTCCCACCCCCTCCCCAGAGCTGGAAACATCTTTCCTATCACTCCTTCTTCCCAATGAAATGTGAAATTCACACAGCCTTCTACGGCCTTATTACTTTATGTTGGTTACTTGTTGACAATGGTAGTATTTTAGATAGTGTAGACTAAAGAAAATACGTTACTAAAGCTAAGTTCACCTGGTTGTCAGTCAACAGTTATTAGAAATTCCAGGGAGCGCAATTTACAATTTATGTTTATCAGAAGCGTAGCCTTTGACCCTAGTACACAGGAGACAGAGGCAGGTGGATCTCTGTGAGTTCGAGGCCAGCCTGGTCTACAGAGAGTGTTCTGTAGGAAGACCCCGTTTCAAACACACAAACACACAGTTTGGACAGAGGAACTGGGGCTACGGCTCTAGTAGGAATTTCCCTAGCGTGCCCGAGGCTCTGAGTTCAGTTCTCCAGCACAGGCTATAGAAGTGAGCTGGAGGCTAGCCTGAGCCTCATGAGAGAAGGGGAAGTGTGTCCTTTCTAAGATAATACATGCCTGGACCATGGCACCGAGCCAAGGATGACTTACTAATATTTTTGAGAGCATCTGCTGTCCCATATGGACGGTGCCGTGTGCTGGGAGATGGTATTATGGCTGATGCCAACCAACTGTACGGATTGAAACTGGAAGACCCCAGCAAGCAGAAGACAAGCCTCAAGTTCCGATTGCTGCTTGCTCTGTCTCAGGCGCTCACATGCCTTAAGTATGAACTTCACAGCAAGTACTGCCTTGGCTGATTGGATTACCCCATGATGCCATGCAGGGAACATTAAATATTGACTCTCACTACACTTCAAAATGGTTTTCCAAGGGCTTGGCGATGTGGCTCAGGTCATCGAGGGCTTCCTTAGCATGTGTGAAGCCCTGGGTTCACATAGCACATAAACCCCAGCAACACACAAGCCAGGTGTGGCGGTGTATGCTTGTAGTCCCATCACTTGGGTGGTGGAGGCAGGAGGATTATTCTCAATTACATAGAACATTCAGGGCCAGCCTGCGATACATAAGACTCTGTCTCAAGTATGTTTTTGAGGGTGTGTATTATTCCAACTCAAGGATGTCCCAGGACGATCGCGGTTTCCTGGATCTTGACATTTTCTTCGCAGTGTGGTTATTATTAGCTTTTGTTACGAGGCAGGTGACTTCCTGTGGGCAGCTCTGTACACTCCTCATTCCCTGGGTTTGTTCTAGGGATCACATTGCTGTTTGGAAGGGTGTGTACATCATCATCGGGTACAGATGTCACACAAGACAAAGAAGCCTGAGTTTTCTAGAAACTGTGGTGTAGCCTAATTCTACACTTTGCAGTATCCACACTAAAGAAATGGCCCAGGATGCAGCAGGACTTTCTGTTGTGGCTCCTCGGCAGGCTGAGGCAGGAGGATTGCTTGGGTACACTTCAGGCTCAGCCTGGGGACCCAGCTCAGGGCATCCAATGAAAGATGTAACAACTACAGATTTGAAAACAGTCCCAGGTTGGAAGCACCCCTGGCTCTTCTCAGCGTTTCTGTGAGGGCTTCTGGGCTGTGAGGGCAGCTAAGCCACCACAGTGGTGCAAACAAGGGCACATACTCTCTGCGCCTGCTGGATCCTTATTTTCGTCCTGTTCCTCCCCAGGGGCGTTACTGGAGTTGGTGACTTTTGTGTGCGCGTGCGTGTGTGTAATTACAGGGATTCGAAGGCATCGCACCCCTGGGCTGGGAGTGTCGCTCAGTGGGTAGAATGTTCACCTAAGACTCCCAGAGCTCTGGGTTCTGCCCCCAGCTCCTAATAACTTGGGTGTGGTGGCGCACACTTGTAATCCCTGTGCTCAGGAAGTGGAGGCAGGGGGACCAGGAATTCAAGGTCATCTTTTGCTACGTAGTAAATTGAAGGCTAGCTTAAATCTCCTGGGCTACAGGAGAGCCTATCTCGAAAAAATAAAAATAAATAAAAAAAAAAGTTCTTCACCCATAAGAATGGAGCTCCATGCCTTCTAAGGAGACCACTCTATCACCTGGGCCCACATCAAGGCATAGAATATTCTCTGCCTCCAGGACCCTCCCCACACTTCATTCATGCTATTTTGCCTCCTGGGGCAGCTACTGCCCTGACAGCTAACACAGCTAACACGGTATGTGGTCAAGTGTTTCCTGAGTATGAGCCTTGCCCAGGTGAAATCGTGACACACATGCCTTTTCATGCTTGGCTCCCTTGGTTCTGTGTTACATATGGTGCCTGGTTTCATTCTTGTATGCGGTCCCATCAGTAGGCTGCATGGTCCTTTTGTACATTGGCTGTCCTGCCATGGGTGGTTTCCGGTTTACAACGATCCCACAGCCCAGCCACAAGGCCACAAGCATGTTGTGTGCTTCTTCCTTTCTGCTGCCTACCCTGGCCAGTTTGCTTGCCCTCTACACGGCTGTGTTTTTCTCGAGAAAGGTAGCGGTTGTCCTGGATATCAGTCTTTGCAATCGACCGTGACTACATGTGCAGTGTGGGGTTGCAGCCCTGCCTGCCTGTGCTGCGTGGGATGGATGAGCGAATGCCTGGAGTAGTGCCTGGCCCAGGTTGGCAGCCTTCCCTAGTCTTCCCTGGTGAGCAGCAGCTGCTGTGGATGCTTCAGACTCAGAGTGGTGGATTCTTGAATAAACCAAGGCTTGAGCCTGAGGTGGGGTAGGGGGTGGAGGGTCCTTAGGGCTCAGGTACTCACAGCTTTAGAATGAGAGGTGAGGCGGGGGAGGGGAGGGGAGAGATGAGGCAATGCAGGTGGGTACGGCAGGTCTCCAACCTGGTCACTGCACTGGCAAGTTTGGCCTGAACTGGACATGGTCCCCAGGAGATTGAAGACCCTGAGCATCAAGGGTCTGGGGTGTGCAGACGGCCCATGTGAAGGGTGTGCTTTGGATTGCATTCTAGATCTCCCAATTGCTAGTGCTGTGGTCTGCAGCCTTCTGAGTGGCAGCTGGCCAGAGGAAAGTCAGAGATGATCGTATGGACTCCCTCTGGTCAGTCACCACTCTCTCTGGCCCAGGGGCATTGTGTGTCCTGGAGACTCTCTCTCTCATTGAGGCCCACCTTCTCCCTTCTCTTTCCGCTCTGCCCACCCTGCCTTCTCCAAGCCAAGTCAAGCCGCACAGGCAGATACGGACAAGATGGCAGGGGTGGGGTAGGGTGGGCAAATAAGCAGGTACAAATTCTTTCGTGGGACAACACCTGGGGGAGTGGCTGGTCTGGCCCACATCAGGGGCTGTCACTCACAAACAGCCACGCTCTTGCTAAGGGAATAGGTGACAGCCCCAGCAGGCAGAGCGGGAGATTCTTCTGTCTCTCAGCCGTGGTTCAGTGTGGCCAAGGGGGCGTCCCAAGAGGGACGGCAGTGGTGAGCGAGGAGGGGGCCAAAGAATGCCTCAGCCTCCGATCACCTCAAGTTCAGTGTCAAGGATCTCTCGCTAGCTCTCATTTTCTTTTCTTTCTCCCATTTCCCCTTCTCCCTTCCCAGTCTCCTCGGACCAAATCGAACAACTGCACCGGAGGTTCAAGCAGCTGAGTGGGGACCAGCCCACCATCCGGTAAGATGCACAGCCGGCAGGTCTGGCAGTCATTTCCTGCCCGTTATCTCTTCTCCCCAAGTCCGTGTGGCTCTGGGCAGGCTGACCCCGAGGCCAGTCCCAGTTTCTGAAGCAAACCTCACATACAAATTTTTCCTGGGTTTTTCTAAGACAAGCTGTGGAGGGAGGAAGGGGCCCATTCTGTTCTGACAGAAACCTGTAGGGGAAGCCAGGGAGGGGAAGGAGACAGTGCATCAGCCACCCGGCCCTGCCCAATGGCTTTCTGTAGTATGTGACCTGGACTTGTCCTGAAGTCTCCCCAAATTGCGCGCGCGCGCGCGCACACACACACACACACACACTCATTGAGTGCCTCCTGCTGGATCCTCCCTGGTGCTGGAGTTGATAGAGCTGTGGGCTGGGGCGTTGGCATGGCCCTGATGAGCCTGTCTCTGGACTTCTCTTCCTCTCTGTCATTCCAGTCTTGGACAAGATGAGGTAGGTGGCGGTGTCCACTTTCTGTTAGGGAAGGTGATGTTTTCCACGGTGACTTCATTCCTTTGTACTGGGGAGGAACACTGCCACACACATTGCTAGGGAGGGGCATCACCATGGCATACAGCCCCAGCCCTCTTTGCTTTTCCCTTTTCCCCGTAGTTGTGTCTAAATTGACCAGGCTGGCCTTGGGCTCCCTCTGTAGCCCAGGCTGGCCTTGGACTCCCTCTGTAGCCCAGGCTGGCCTTGGGCTCCTTCTGTAGCCCAGGCTGGCCTTGGGCTCCCTCTGTAGCCCAGGCTGGTCCTGGGCTTGCTATCATTCCTGCCTGTGAAGAAGCTGAAATGACAGGTGGGAGCCACAAACCCTGTGAAGTGAAGAGTCTTCTGTCACAAACTTCCTAGTAGAGAGCAGGGTCCTAAAATATGCGTGGGATCTCAGGGTGACATCGTTGGAACACTGATGCAAGCCTCACACAGGCCCCAGGAAAGCTTCCTTCATAGATGGCTTCATTTTGCCCTCGGAGGGAGCCGTGTACGCATCTACGTTTTCTTGCCTGCTACACAAAGGCACGTTATTATCCTAGCGCGGTGTCCAGAATGTTCCCATGGTCTCGGGTTCTGTGGTCTCTGGATTCAATTTAATTTGCTCTACACTCTATCAAGACAGGTTAATCTGAGCAGAGAAGCCCAGAGAAACAACCTGTGTACCCCATGAAATTTCCTGGCTCCTCACTGGGTCAGGTGCCTGAGCCTGAGCCAATTGCCACGACTAGGAGCCAGAAACAAACTTTGCCTTGCCTAGAATAGAGGAGTCGGCTCTCGGGTCAGACACAGCTTTACCTGGGGAGAGACCTTGGATCAAATTCCACCTCTTCAGACTCAGGGTCAGGCGAGAAACTTGGGAGACAAACCCAAGCTTTGGCTATGTGCCTTTGGACCAGCTCTCCATCCCTCCCTCCCTCCTTTCTTCCCTCCCTCCCTCCCTCCCTCTTTCTCTTTCTCCCTCTCTCAGAGTCAGCCTTCTGCATAAAGCAGTCTGCTTCTTTAGCTTAGGTCTGAGCATGAAGCTCTCAGATGTGCACAGTTGGTTCCCAGACATCTGGCAAATGGGCCAGGTTGTTGCACCCCACCTGAGACGTGGGGCAGAGCCTGGCTGATCTGCTTGGAGGGTGTAGGAGTCCTGAGTCCTGTGGGGGAGGGAGCACCACAGAAATTCCGTCTGCATGGAGGTGAGTTTGGGATCCAAGGGGGAGGTCAAGTTGTAAGGTGTTGAGGGGTTCCCATGCTGTAGGCACACAGAACCCTGGCTCTTAGCAAAGTTAACAGTCACCTCCAATCCCATGTAGGTGCTCACACAGCCGGCGTCCAGGGACTCTCCAGGAAGCTTATGGCATCTAAACCAACCTAGTGTGTATCATGAGCTGCGTGACCAGTCAGGTTCCTTGGGACTGTAGTGCGGAGAGCAGCCTCCAGCTGGGTTGTCAGGCGAGGCCCTCAGCCCCAGCTTCCCTGGAGAGGTCATGCCTTGAGATGCTTCCTTCACGGGGTGTCCCTGACCAGGGCCTCAGCTCAAATGCCACAGCAAACTGCAGCTGCCCACCCACTGGGTGTCCCACGGCACACCCTTCACCCCTCCAGCTGTCCCTTAGTCACAGTGAATGGGGCCTGTCTTTTGCTGACCCCTCCTGCCCCACCCGGAGCTGCCCTGTGGTGTGTGTCTGCCTCTCTGTCTTGCTTTTGGTCCATCAGAAAGTGCACAGTTCTTCCCAGAGTCCGGGATTGCTGTCCTGCCATCTGTGTCTCTGCCCATCCTAGTCAGTGTCAACCCCAGCGTCCTCTCCCATCCTCGGCTTCTGCATCCAGCATTGCCTGGGAAGACACAGTCCTTTCCCTGAGGAGTTCCTGTGAGGCCTCAGTTTCCCCAGTGTGGGCTAATTGTACATTCTGTGCGTTCACTCTGAGCTCTGCTCTGAGGCCTAGCAGAGCGACCTTGGGAGCTGAGCTGGGCCTCTGAGGCCACCGGAAACTAGCCCACAGCACTGGGTGTGCACAAGAGGCCAGCCCCGCCCTCGGTGGTTTTCTTAGCTTCGTGTGTCCTTTGTGGGCTTGAAGATTTTCCTACCCTCTTTGTGACTCCTGAGGAGGGGTTAGGGGAGCGCAGACTGGAACTGGGCAAGAGTGGGTGCCCACAGAGCTCCAATTCTCTGCAAAGTCTAAAAGTGCAGCCTGGAGGAAGTGGGAGGGGGTGCCCCCCGGGGCCGGAGCACTTCTGGCTAGCTGTGTGACTGCCGCTTGCAATGTGGCCACTGTGGGCCCCATGCTCTTGTCAGTGAAAGTGGACCCATCACTGACACTGCTTGTAAGTATGACATGGGGAGGGCCCTTCAGAACTTGGGGGAGATGATGTAAGATACCCTGGGGCTTCAAGCTGCAAGAGGACCCACGGAAGGTGGGTGTCTCTTCGGGTTTCCTGTGGCCCTTCTCCTTGCTGGTCACCAGCGCAGATGGCAGGTTGGTCAGCTCAGTCCCCAGGGCAGTGGCCTGAGAGCATCCAGGGCCCCAGGGTGGGGCTGAGCCCTTGCGGTTAGCTCAGTGAGGACCTGCTGGGCATGAGACAGAGACCCTGAGGCCGCTCGGCTTGGCCTGGCCCAGCTCGAGCCCCAAGACTTGCCTTTTTTTGTCAGAGTGGGGGGTAGCAGAAGTCAGGGGTCTCTGGGTACCAGATGGTCAAACCTGCTTCTTGTGAGTGACTGCTTCCGGACCAAGGCCGAGGTCACAGCTGGATGGTAGCCTCTGTCTCTGCTTTCCTTTTCTCTCCTCCCCCCCCCCTTTTGGGGGCCTCCAACAAGTGCCCTATACTGAGCTACACCCCAGCTTTTTTTCTCCCTTGAGATGGGGTGGTGGTTGCCAAGCTGTGTAGGGCTGGCCTCAATCTCAATCCTCTTGCCTCAGCTTCCTGAGTACTGGGATGACAGGTGCCGCCACTCCTGACTCGGAAGCTGGTTCTTCTCTCTGCCTTCTTTGTCTCGGAAATGGGCTAAGTACCTGCCCTCCATGGTATTGTCGTGGGGGTGGGACCTTCCTCCTTGGGAGAGCTGCCCTGTGGCTGTCACTAATATGATCACCATTGCTCCACCATGTTCATGTGTGACACCCCCATCCCAGTGTCCTCAGCATTCCCACAATCCCCAGCTTACAGCTGCGGCATCAGAGGCTAGGGTGGGGGTGGCACCCCCTCTCCCAAGACCACACGCTGCAGAGGGTGGAGCTTGGGTCAGCAGCCATTTCTCTGTACTCTAGCCCATCACACTGGTGCAGAGAGAAGCGTTAAGTTTGCACCCATCTCACAGAGGAGCAGACTGATCCCCCCAGAAGCAGGGCCTGAGGTGAGGCATGGGTGGGATAGGAGTGTGGGTCTGGTAGGCACCTGTAGAGATGGAGAGCAAGGAGCATGGGCAGGACAGTACCAGGGGTGTGAGCGTGGCTTTGTTCTGCCTGGGCTCCAGTGTGACTCCCCACAGCTGGGTGAGCCTGGGCAGGGGACTGGCTCTCTCAATGTGTCACCTGTTACTTCAGGGAATCACCGGAGTCCCGGTTGGGTCTCCCCCAAGTGAAGTACACACCACGGGCCTCACCGCTCACACAGCCACTGTGACTGTCATCTGAGCCGTGGCCTGCAAGGTGTGGGGCGGGGACTCTGATGATCTGATCCTCCATGGTGCCTTCTGTCCAGGGTTCTGGTTTCTCTTGCTTCCCTCTGTGGTTGCACGGGGGCGGGGACAGAGCCCTTGTGTGTCTGGCCCCAGGCTCCCTGTGTCCTCTCTGGGTTGCCTGCTGCAAGGGCAGCTAGCCGTTATCTTGTGTGGAAATTCCCTCTGTGGGAATGGCGGTTGTGTTGTTTTAATGAAAGCAGGGGAAAGTTTCCAGTGGTTTTGGGGGAGAACCTGTTCCCATGTACGATCCAGCCATTTAAGCTGTGCCGGCACTTTAAGCAGCCCAGAAACACACCCACCCCCATCACCCTGGAAAACAGACTCTGTGCTGGCTTCCCTCCTGAGTGTGGTGTTCTTGAGGCTCAGTGGCAGCCTGTGTCTGTCCTTGCGTCTGTTCCCTTGTTTGGTTAGGTTCTCAGCAGGCAGTCTGTGCAGCCTTGAACTTGTGTTCCGCCTGCCTCAGCCTCCTCGGCTAGGATCCCAGGCAGGCGCCACCACTCCACTACTTCCCGAGTGCCTGGGACTGCAGGTTGGACCCCGGACCCACTGAACTCCTTCCCTTTTGAAAAGTGTTATTGTGTGTCCACACAACTTTGTGGAGTCAGTTCTGTCCTTCCACATTTCTGTGGGTTCTGGGAATTGAACTCAGATCTCTGAACTTGCACACACGCGCCTTTTCCTGCTCGGCCGTCTCCCCAGCCCCTCCATTTCTTTGAACTCATTCTGCCCCAGATCTATTCTTTGGATCGTATAGTGGCACCCATCACTCCAGAACAGCTCTCCTGAGCGTGTCCTTCCAAACTGGGCTCTGGTAAATGTAAAAGGTGACTGCGCCCAACAACCAGCTTCTGTTTGGCTAGATGCCACCAGTCCAGCCACGAGGGAGGGGCAGGAAGCCACCCAGGGGTGGTGAGAACAGGAGAGATCCGGTCATCTGCTTCTGCTTGTATCTGCAGCCTGAGGCCCCTCTCCTGACAGGGGAAGCCAGGATGGGACAAGGGACTGTTTGTGGAACCTCCCAACTCAAACAGCCTCAGCTGCCAACCCCAGTCTATTCCAGTGTCACAACCCCTACTAATGTCCTCAGGTGTGTGTGTGTGTATGTGCAGGTGTGCTCATGTGTGTGTGTGTGCTTTAATCAGCCGACCCTTCCCCATCCTGAGCATTCTTTCTTGTCCCCTAGGTCCCTTGAAAGGTCACTGTCATGGAACAGGCACAGGCAACCTCAACGGAGGTTGGGGTCCCCCCTGTGAGGCAGGGCAGGCACTTGGGCCCTGCGCCTGCACCCCGCCCAGGCCTGTAGCTGCCGGTGGGTGGGTTCCATGTCTTTATTGAAGTGAAGCCCACACCTTGCAGCTCAGTGGTTAATATGCACGGCAGTGCTGGCGTCTCTCTTGAGTTGTGTATCCAGAATTTTTGTCACCCAAGAGAAACCCGTCCCCTTAGGGGTCATCTGGCTCTCTCAGCCCTGGGCCACCCCTCTCCTGCTTTTTGCCACATGGACTCAGTCTGTTCTAGACACATCATTTTATTGGAATCGTGGCCTTTCTCTGCTGGTGCCTTTCCAGCAACATCAGTGTCAGGGTTCACCCTCCTGTAGGAGGTGTCAGTGCCCAGGTCTCCTCTTGGCTGCACAGTATTTCCCTGTGTGGACAGGCACCCCCTTACCTGGGAGCAGGCATTCGATTGGCCCTCTTTGATTCTCCTGTGTTCCTGTGGAGACTGCCTGTGTGCTTGTTTCTCTTCGGCACATGCTAGGAGGTGCCAGGCCACGGAATGCTCAGACAGTCCATTACCTTGAGGCCCTCTGGGCCAGTGTCTTACTGCTGGGAGCCCAGATAAGCCACCTGGAGGCTTCCCCGCCTGGACCCTGCAGACCCTGTCTCTGCAGCCTGAGTGTGAGGGTCCCACCTACCTTTCAGGTTCTTCCAAGTGACAGGCTCCCTCAGTTCCCCCACCTCACCCAGTCTGTAGGCAGAAGGCCTGAGGAGAGAGTGGGGCTGTTGGGGATGAAGTGACACCAGCCTGCCCGTGTCCCATGCCACTGATGACTCTGCTTTTGTGACTTTCTCTCCTGGGCGTCCTGGAATACAGCAAGGAGAACTTCAACAATGTTCCTGACCTGGAGCTCAACCCAATCCGATCCAAAATCGTCCGTGCCTTCTTCGACAACAGGTGCGCTCCCTCCCCAGGCAGGCTGAGGTGGGCCACCTCTGTACCACCCAACAGCTCCCAAATCCTGACACAGAGCTTTCTTATTAATTATGAAAGCTCTGCCTATAGCTTAGGCATGTCCCACCAGCTCTTGTAACTTAAATAAACCCATTCATTTTAATCTACGTTTTGCTGTGTGGCTCATTACCTCATCTCTCAGTACTGCCCACGCTGCTTCCTAGATGTCTCCTTCTCTCTCTCCCTGGAAATCCTGCCTAGCTATTGGCCATCCAGCTTTTCATTACACCAATCACAGCAGTGCACCTACACACAGTGTACAAATTTCCCACAACACTGGTTGACACTGGACAGCTCTCCTGACTCCACTTCTGGGTTAGTCATTGCCAGCAATGACTGTGTAACAAATGAGTCCAAAGATAGCAGGTACTTTGGGTTTTGTTTATTTACATTTGCATGTGTGCGCATGTTCATATATGCAGGTGTACATATATGTGTCTGCGTATATTCATGTATGCAGGTGCACATGTATGTATCCGTGCATGTTTGTGTGCATAGGTGTGCATGTATATATGCAAACATGTTCATGCATGCAGGTATACATGTATGTATATTTGCACATGTTGTGTACACAGGTTACAAGTATATGTATGTGGACATGTTCATGTATGCAGGTATATATGTATGTATATGTGCACATCTGGATATGCAGGTGTACATGTATGTGTATGTGCATGTGAAGGCCAGAAGACAACTTTAGCTGGTATTCTCAGGCACTGTCCTTGCTTTGAGACAGGGCTACTCACTGGTCTAGACCTTGCCAATATGGCTAGGCCAGCTGGCCAAGGGAACTCCAGGGATCCTCCTGCCTCCACCTCCCCAGAAGTGGGGTTACACTCAAATGCAGCCATGCTTGCCTGGCAGGCACTTCACATACTGAACCCAATTTATACATTTTACCTATGACTCTGGGATGGAAGGAACCCAGGCGCTCTCCCCCTGGGATCTGTCTCCAGTCCCAAGCCCAGCATTGACTCCTCATGGCTTCTGGGGGCCAGGAGGCCAGAGTCAGCTCCTCCTCTCACATGTGGCCAAGGCTAAGGGCAGGAGGTATACCTCACAGGCTCACAGCTGAAGACACGGCTCTGTCCCAGCTGGTGGATGATGAGGGCTCTGACCTCTCAACTGAGGGGTCTGTCATTTGATGGTGTTACTGGGAAGTAACTGAGCTAGGCTGGGGCCTAGTTAGTGAAGCTTGAACCCTGCAAGGGGGGCTGTGGCAGGCAACTCGGGAGAAGATGCTTGGGAACACGTATGCAGAGGGCCATGTCATCATGAGCTTACAAGTGTGTGTGTGCATGTATGTGCATGTGTGTGTGCACACCACAGAACTCTGTACATGTAGAGATCAGAAGAAAGTTGACAGGGGTCACCACGTGGGTCCTATGGCTTGGATTCAGGTCAGCAGATTTGACCGCAGGCACCTTTATCCACTAAGTCATCTCAAGAGATATTTTCTATGTCCTGAGGTCCTCTCTCCCCTGCTGCCCCCTTAGGAACCTGCGCAAGGGATCCAGTGGCCTGGCCGACGAGATCAACTTTGAGGACTTCCTGACCATCATGTCTTACTTCCGGCCCATCGACACCACCCTGGGCGAGGAGCAAGTGGAACTGTCCCGGAAGGAGAAGCTGAAATGTGTGTGCTGGGTCCTCAGAACGCGGGAATCACCAAGAGCGGGAGGCTAGGCCATGGGTGGGAAGGAGGGGGACAGCAGGGGACGCAGCCTGTGCCCTTACACCGTCAGGCTCTAAACAGCAGCGTTGGTGTGGCCTCATAAGAGTTCAGCAGCTTCCGGCTTTGGGGGACAGGCAGGGTAGGGGGCTGTGGGGTGATGTACTTTAAAGAGACACGAGGTTTTATTTACAGCCTGGGCTTAGCTGTGTGACCCTGAACCCAGGCACGGGTGCTGACTGTGAACACGGGTGGCTGAGGCTGAGAACTGTGCTGCAGACAGAGCCTCACATCTGGGGCTGGGGAGCCCGAGTCTGGGGTCCCACACTGCTCCCTCATGGCCTGCTGTGAGCATAGTCTGACAGCCTTCTCCTGAGGTTCCTCTGTAGGTCGCCAGCTCTGGGGAGCATCTAGTGGCCATCCTGGCTGGACTGGGGAAGGACCTCAGGAGTCACTGTCCCCTTCCACCACTGCCATCTTTCCCACGGCTCCTGAGGGCCTTCCCCACTTCCTCAGGCTCCAAGTACTCAGCTATGTTTAGCCCTGGCGTGCACGTGAGGGGTGGGTGGGAACAACCACGCTGGGTTCTCCTGGGCTCCTGTATCACTGCTCAGGAGATGCCCAGAGTCCGCCAGACTGCTCTATGGGCTAGGGTGAGAATAGTGAAACCAGAAGAAGACAGGTCTGAACTGGTTCAGGACCCCTGTCTTAACATGTATGGGACCTGTGAAATGGACCATGACAGCCCTGTTCTCACAGGGTCAGGCTAGGACACCGTGACCAGGAAATACTCGGATGGTTCTAGGCATTTGGTTCCTGGTAGATACCAGAGCAGAGTATGGAGGAGTGCTGGGGTGGCGGGGATCACCCACTCGGCACCTCCTTTTCGTGGGGCTGCTGCCAAGGCTAAGAGAGGCAGCCAGGCCCTCCCTACTAATCTTCTGCCACCCTCAGGATCCACCTAGGACCAGCCAGCAATCAGGACATGGGCAGTGTGGCTTGGGACCTGGCATTTTAAGATAACACCCAATTGGCTATGTGCTTGTGAGGTGTCCAGTCCTGGTACATGTCTGAAGTGTAGGCGTAGTGGCAGGCGATGCCTCCAACACCCATTTTATAGGTTGGAAACTGAGGCTTAAGAGAAGTCGCTGGTTCGAGGCATCCCCCTAGGAAGAGAGCAGTTAGGTCCGTGGGTGCCCTTCTGTTCTAAGGCTTTGTGGTCCAGACCTTCCCACAGTGCCTCAGAGCAGGACCCCGGGGAGAAGGGGACACAGGCTCCACGCCTGCCTCTGCCTAAAGGGCTGCTCCCTTCTCTGCTGCCCACAGTTCTGTTCCATATGTACGACTCGGACAGCGATGGCCGCATCACCCTGGAAGAGTATAGAAATGTAAAGTATGGTCCCCTGGCCCTGCCCGGGGCTTCTGGCGCCTCCCCCTCCTGGACCATCGGAATCCCAAGGTCACCAAGTGTCTGCCCCACTGGCAGGTGGTGGAGGAACTTCTTTCTGGAAACCCTCACATTGAGAAGGAGTCAGCTCGATCCATTGCAGATGGAGCCATGATGGAGGCGGCCAGTGTGTGTGTGGGGCAGATGGTGAGCACCCCTTAGGGGTACAGGGAGGGAAGGACGGGGAGCAGGAGTCCACCAACAGATTCCCGCCCCCACACCCAGTTCCACATCGCCTTTCCTGTGGTTGTTGAGGGTCTCAGTGGCAGGAGCCAGGTGTGCCCGGCTCGCTACGCTAACCCGGGACTGGCGTGGAGCAGAGCTCGGAACCCACTGCAGGCTCTCTGTCCTCAGGAGACTGCTGTCCTGGAGAGCTGTGTGACTCAGCGAAGCAGAATTCACAGTCTGGGTGGTGCCACCGTGGCCTCTGTACCACTCTGGGTAGCATGGAGCACGGTGTCCCGAGAGCATTGGCTCCTCAGTTAGAAAAGTGGGGTGTTCTCAGGCCTCAACACGGGTCTCAGCACCTGCCATCTGTGAAAATCACTGGTGTTGGGGGGCAGCTGAGGGACTGAGCGGGGGCTCGGCCAGATGTGCACTCTGGTTCATGGTTTCTGCTTCATTCTATCACTGGGGAAACCGATGCTCAGCCCAAAAGATTCTGTGGCACGTGTGACCTTTCCTTGCAGGGTGGGGTGCAGCCCAGCAGCCCCAGAACCAACTAGGGTGGGTAGATGTCACCTCCAGGGCCCAGGCTTCCAGCAAGCTCTGGCCTCCTTGTACCTGTTTTGACAACAGCCTCGGAGTGGAGATGGGTCCATGCTGGCTCCCACCCTCTGTGTCACTTGCCTGTCCTGAGGATCTTCACTCCCCAGAGGCAGAGCTGCCTTCCTGGCTTGTGCTTATCTGGCCCCAGTAACACTGCTGTGCTCTGTGTATACCGCCTCAGGGAAGGGCCCTGACCTGATAGAGAGCAGAGCTCCCCTTTGTAACTGGGGCAGAGCCAAACACCCATTTGGTTTGGTTACACTCTCCTGTAAATGACTCCCTGTCCCACTCCACATTCAGCTGGGGACTTCTCTTAATTTGCTGTAGTGAAACTGTTGGCAGCTGGTGCCTGCCTCACAGGTGGGATCCCCAGGAGGGTGGGGACAGAGCCGCCAGGGAGCCTGGCATGCGTGCCTATGACGGAGCACACACTGTGTGCATCAGCCAGATCCGCACAGACCCAGCTCGGGCTGAGCTGTGGGTCGGGGCGGCCGCTGGCATCCGATGGTGATCAATGCTTCTGACCACACTACTCACCGAAGACCAGAGAGCCACCCACCATTCCTGCTTTGATGTCTTTCCAGAGCCACTTACTGACTTAGGGCGGTGACTCTTTAAGTACCATCTCTAGACCGTGTCTGTGCAGGGATCTTGGTGGGGAGAGAGAAGGAGGGGCTGCTAAGTTAGACTTCATCCTGGCTTCGCCAACTCCCAGCCTCTGTCCTTGCCAGCTCCACACTCCTGCTGGATTCCCCACAGCAGGGCTAGTCTATTATTAGCTCCTCTCACCCAGCCTGGGAGCCTGGTGCCCTGGAGAAGGGGTGGACACTTCTCTCTCCCTGAGCGGGAGGAACAGAGAGGAATAGCCCCTGGGGACAGAGCAAGCCCAGGCCAGTGGAAAACTGGGGGGGGGGGGCGGGTATTAAATGTTTTATGAAAACAAACCATAAAAGAACATTGACTCTTGCTCGCAGGGGCGACCAGGAGAGGGTGAAAGGTCACTCTCTCTCCATGCCCACTCAGGACCCTGCCCTGTAGGGAACCGCTCTTGGCTTCCCCCCTACAGTGCCAGTAGACACACCATGTGTGGGTCTTTGCTGTTGTGTTGGATCACTTGTATTTTGGGGGCTCTGGGATTTGAACCGGTGCCCCAAACATGCTAAAGTCAGGCTGTACCACCATCTGCCTAGCCCGACTCCACATGCAGTTTCACCAGGTGGCCTTGATTGGACATGGCCTTCTTCCCCTTGGCAGACATCTGTCCAAAGGGCAGAGGGGGCTGGCAACACTTGCAGGCGCATGTTGGGAGCTGCAGGCACTCGCTCCTTGTGGGGTTACTTGTAGGGCTACTATTTCTTCTTGGCTGAGTGTACATCTTAGTCTTTCTATGCCGAGAAGAGCTAACCACTGGTAGCCACGAAGGGCCGAGCCCTGCTGAAGGACTCTGGGGCAATGTGGGGAAGCCTGAGGACCCAGTAGGGACCTGTGGGGGGGTCTACAGTGGTGTCCGCTGTCACAAGGGGATGCTGGGTGTTTTGGAGACTTGTTCAGTAGTTCAGGGGGCAAGGGTCAATACTCTCTTAGGGTTTGTTTCAGAAAACATCATAAAAAACAACAAACAAACAAACAAAAAAGTTTTCCACTGGCCTGGGCAAAGCCCTGCTACCATCCCTTCTGTCCCTACAGTAGGAGGGACACAGCTGGAGACTTGCTTTCTCAAGCATGCCAGGTCCCTGGTTGAAGCCACATTCTGTTCCCTGTATCCTGGTTATCACGGTGACTCATTGGTATGAAGGTGGCCACAGAGGGCCTTCTATTCCCTTCTCCTTCCCCCAGTGGGCTGTGAATGTAGATTAGCCCAGAATAGTTCTGTTATCAGTATAGGGAGCTGAGACAGGACCCAGGCTGGCAGGGCGTGACTTGGTGGCTGGACATTTAGGGACAGGGGGAGGTGGACTGTATTGAGAAAGAGGGCCCATGCCTAGGAGTCCACTGTTTCCCCACCTGGCACTCCTGGGAGACCCCAGTGGGATGAAGTCCCTATCACTTTTGGGGTTCCAGAAGAATGACCTTGGCTGGGAACACATGACTCCCCTTTCTAACTCTACCTCTGTGCTCTGGGTGTCTGGAGGAGGCGACCTGTCTCAGCAGAACCCTGGCCACTCACTCCCTGTACAATTTTGTCCTCAGGAACCAGACCAGGTGTATGAGGGGATCACCTTTGAGGACTTTCTGAAGGTGGGTGCCGGGGGAAAGACAGGTGGGCCTGGGGATGGGGGTTCCAGGACATCATGAGGACCTTGTGAAGTGGCAGCTGTCAGCAGATCCCAGGTGCCCAACAGGGCTGTTCTCTAGGAAGGCCGTGGAAACCACGTTAACTGATTCTCTTGGCTTTGTGGAGAGAGGGGGTGTTTCTGTGTGGCCCGTGATCTCGGGTAGATCAGAGAAGTGAACTTCTCTCCCTCGGGACACTGGTGGCCCTTCCCAGAACAGCAGGGATTCTGGAGGATTCTGGAAACTTCCTGCACCTGGATGAACACAGCATTCTGTAAGCAGACTGGTGCAGACAACATGTTGCTGAGTCCTGCCTCCCTAGTGCATCCTGATAGGAGTTTTAAGGGGCCACCCACTCACCTGTCCTCCCTCTTGGGGTGGCATCTGCACTCATCTTGTGGACAGCCTTCCCTGTCACAAACACACTCTGGGGCTGGGAGTTAAGACTGGCTGCTGTGATGACCAAGTTAGAAGCAGGAAGCAGAAAATGCTAAAGTCATCTCTCCAAGGCCTTCAGGGCATGGAGGTGGGCCAGGAGGTCGGGACACAGGAGGACCTATGAACCCAGCCAACTCCACCAAGGCCTGTGCACGGAGGGAACCTGGAGCCTCTAGGGTTTGGATCACAGAGTCAGGGTCGACCACTGCCTGCCCCTCTGAGGGAGGTCTGCTGCAGGCCCTCTGTCCCACAGGCAGGCAGTGTAAGCCCTGTCTCTCAGGGAAGGAGGCAGAGGTCAGCAGCTACCCACACTCAAGACTGGACAGGGTATGTGGTGGGGGAGGCCAAGAGCTGCTAGAGGTGGATCTGTTCATCCGGGTACACAATGCAGAATTCCAGGGGCAGAAGGAATATTGAGGAAGAGGGTGCAGTTGCTTGGAGTGTGGCTAGGCGGCACACCAGTGCAATCTTAGCTCCTGGGAGGCAGAGGCAGGGGCATCTGGAGTTCAAAGTCAGCCCGGGCTGGAGTTAAGAGTCTCAGTGTGACAAGCCAACCCGTGCTTTCTCCATGGCTCTTCAGAAAATAGCTCCCCTTCTCTGTCCCTTCTGTGCCCCCTCCCAGAACTTAGCTGCATTCCTCATGCAGTCTGGGATCGTTCTCAGCACACCTCAAACTCCCAGCAATTGGGGATGCTCAGTGTGAAGTGGAACACTATTTCCATGTCCCCGCAGGACCAGTGCAGGGGACAGGGGGCACTGGGAAGCCTAGCTTCAAGGCTTACCTCACCCTGGGAAGTCCACAGGGGCATCTCTATAGATGCTGAGTGACAGCTGAGCAGCGTGGCGCTCCGACCCCACAGGGGGACCTGTCACCTGCCTGTAGGGTTCCTCCATCCATGTTCTCACCCTGACTTCCCACTTGTGCCCTCCTCAATGCCAAGGAACCGGGAGAGGGTGACCTTGGAAGGAACAAGGCTTTGCCCTGTAGGCCAGTGGCCTTGGGACTGAATGCCCAGGCCCTAACAGTGTTAATCTGCAGACTGCTCGACCGGAACACAAGTGGGAAGCAGGCAGACCCCTTCTCCCACAGAGCTGTGGTGAAACTGGCGGCTTACTTAGTGATGGCTGTCCAATGGAGTGTGCGGTGTAACCACCCCTAATAGTGTGTGCAAGGCTAGCCCAGTCTGAGTCTGGAAAGTGAGGGGCGTGGTGGGCAATCCTGGAATGGCACTGAGGAAAAGGAGGTTTGGAACTGGCATGGAACTGAGCCTCTTGGGATGTGTGGGTGAGATCAAAGAGCCCACCCAGCGAGGAACTTGGATTCAGGACTTCATTCTAGCTCGCCATGGTGACCATCTCAGCAAGAACCTGAAGGTCAGAGCCAGAGTAACTGGAAGAGAGAGATGGGAGTTGTTCCTTGCTTAGCTCATAGCCTCGGAACCCATCCTGCTTCTCATTGGCAAAGCGACTCAGTCGGTGGCAGAGGAAGGCGGGTGGGAGAGCTGAGGACCAGACTGGTGTCAGGCACTGGTCTGGACGCCCCCTGATGCCACTCCCTCCATTCCAGATCTGGCAGGGGATCGACATCGAGACCAAGATGCACATCCGCTTCCTCAACATGGAGACCATCGCCCTCTGCCACTGACCATGCAAGGGATGGGTGGTTGGAAGCTGGGCGTGGCCGCAGGCAGCCCTTTGCTCAGCCCTTTGCCTAAGCTGCTCTAACAGTCAGTGCCCCTTCACTTATCCTTCCGTGGGGTGTGGTGTCTGGGACTCTGCTGTTTTTATCTCCAATGATGTCAATAAAGGTTTCTTAATGAGCCTGGCATCCCTGTTTGCCCCTCGCGTGTCTTAAAGGAATCTGATCCTTCGTGACATGAGACTGATTCTAAGGAGCAGTCAGAGATTGGTGAGGAAGGACCAACGGACGTTCTGTCTGCTGGTCCTTGTGCACCATCTGTTTCTCCTTGAAGGATCGGGTATCCACCTGCAGTCTTCACCCGGGGGAAGCCTGGAAAAGCCTGTCTGTGTGGGCAGGCTTCCAGAAGACCTGGAATGCAGGTAACGGGGCTTTCTCAGCACCACCATGGCTGGCGGCTGCTGCCAGCTCCTGATGGTCAACAGCTGCGGCCGGGACTGCCACAGTTCCTCCTGACACCGTGGACCCAGCTGTGAGCCCAGGGCTGCTAGAGCCGAAGTGTGTCCAGTGCTGAGACCACCTGTGAGTGGGCTGTCCTCACATGGTGAGGAACAGAGTCCTCTCATGGCTGGCTGGTGTTTGCTCTCCAGGTCTGCCTGTTTCAGGATGCTTTGTTCCCTCTGTTGACACTGGGAGGTGCCTTTCTAAACTCTGGGAGACTGGCACCAGCTGCTGTTGGCATGCTTAGTTAGGTTTCTTGTTCACAGCCCAACTGTGAGCATGCTTGGTCTCACTTGTGTAGCCCCAGGCCCTAAGGGCCACAGAGGGCATCTGTGGTAAATCTGCACTCTGTCCCCCACCTGTTTCCTTTCCACTTCCTTGTCACATGTAGGTGGACGTGGCTGTGTGTGTGTGTGCATGTGAGTGTGTGCATGCATGAGAATGCATGCTGGCACAAGGGGGGCTCAGATCCTTTGGAGCTGGAGTTAGAGGTGCTGGGAGGGCACCTGGCTTATTACATGGGTGCCAAGATCCAAACTGTGATTCTCATGATGGCACAAGTGTTCTTAACCACCGAGCCGTCTCACGAGACCCCATGTGATGTGTGAGCCTGGGCTTATGTGTGGAGGTCAGAGGACACCATGTTGAGGTGGGGTCTCTTCCAATCTATCTGCTGCAGGCCAGATGAATCACAGGTTTCCGGGCAGCTTTTCTATCTCTGCCTCCCACTTCACATGAGCGCTGGGATTACAGATGTCGGCCACCACATTCAACTTGAACTTCTTCTCAGTTCTACATCCAGCTTTATTTTTTAACATGGGTTCCGGGGATCGAACCCAAGCTATCAGGTTCTTGCAGCAAATGCTTTCCCTCCTGCTGGCCTGTCACATGCATCTTAGTTCTGTTGGTTTAGTAAAATAAAGGTGTCTGTCGTTACTAGTACAACTATCCTGCTGCTGCCCAGGGGACAGTGACTCATGCCTGAGGGAACCCCAGCAGCCTCCTCTCTGCCTGTGGGTGCTTGTCGTGCTGGTGGCAGGCTGTGTCTCCATGGTGATGTGCCAGCTCCAGTAGCTTCTATGGGTCCATGCTGCTGTCCCCGTGTCTGCGGAGGTTCTAAGTGGTGGGCTAGTCTTCTCATCAACAAGTGTTCTCCTATTTCACAGATACAAAGGGGGCAAGGCAACTCGGTGACACAAAAGGGAGCCCCAAGCTACTGCTGAGGATGAGGTTCAAATTAGCATTTCGTGTTTAAAAACAAAAATGTGCTGTGATCAATTAACGGGGTGTGCAGAGACTGCTCAGAGGAATGTGTTAGGATCGCTGTTGTGTGTGGGAGATGGGGCTGGTTGTTACTGTGTCGTACCTCAGAGGTGACGGGTGAGGAGCTGGGGGATCTGCGGGTGCTCTGAACTGACTGGCAGGCAGGACTGGCCTGATCATACTGGGCCTGTGACTGGTGCTGGGTCACAGGACGACCCGTCACCACCAGGGCTGCTCTTCTGAATGCAGGCCTCGCCTGGCCACGACCTGACAAAGCAGCAGGCAGGAACAGACAGAGGGGCTCCTGTCTCCCTGCTCAGAGCCAGTGAGAACCCTACAAAGGTGCCCTCCCCACTCCATCCCCCAACTCAGGGGCTTCCTGGCTTCTGTAGGGCCTGCAGGCTTGGTGGGCAGCCATCACCTTGGCATCTCATGGCCCGGGTTTCCCGAGACTCCCAATTTGTCTCAGTTGTGTCCTTCTCAACAAAGGCAGCTCATGCATGTAGAATGTTTTCATAAATAATGGATCGCCGTCCCTCAGCCCACACCGGGAGTTCTAGTCGGGAAGATGCTGCTGTGATGGACGCGCATCAAACGTGCTTGTGCGTGCTACCCGCTGACGGCCTGCTGATGTCTTTGGAGCCCTGGGCACGGCTAATGCAAACAGCTAATTAAAATGAGACTGACTCACTGGGAGCACGGTCCTCCAGGCACACGGGCAGCGTGCTCATTCGCTCACAATCGCCAGGACCAGGCTCAGCTGGGCCCCATTCCCACTGCAGAACTCACCTGGGGCACTACCGTTCTCTTCCCAGCATGCTCTGCGGTAGGTGGGCAGCAGAAGGACGATGAGCTGGCATGAACCTGCTCCCACGGAGTGCAGACTGATCCTTTAGTGCCCCGTGGGGGTTCTGCCCGTGGAGCAACAAGAGCTGAAGGCCACTGCCCTGGGCACAGCCCGGCCATGTGGTCTGCGTGGGCTGCAGGTAAGGGAGGAAGCGGGTGGATTGTTACCTGCAGGACTGCTGGGATACCCAGCCCCAGTGCAGCCAGGCCTCCCACCCCTGTGGGAACATGAGCCAGATGAGGTGCCCCACCAGCAGTGTGAAGCAGGTACGTACTGAGATCTTTTTGGGGACAGGTGAGTGTGTGCAATCTGTCAAGCACACTAGTGATCATCAGAAACTGTGGCAACCAACCAAGTGGAAGCGGAAGTCAGATGTCTGAGGGTGCTGATGAGCAGGGGCTGTGAGGCCCACGGGCTGTGCATGGAGCTGAGTCCTCAGGTGGAAGCGGAAGTCAGATGTCTGAGGGTGCCGGTGAGCAGGGGCTGTGAGGCCCACGGGCTGTGGGTGGAGCTGGATCCTCAGCTGGGCAGAGGTCTGGTGGGCTCTTTATATTCTACAGCGGTCAGGCGAGAACTAGCCCTGTGTTGTTGCCCTGCTACCAACTTTTGTTTCTAGAATCAGGGCTTCAAACTTAAAACCCTCCCGTCTCAGCCTCCTGGGAGTAGGACAAGTGGAAGTCACCGTGCACCACTTATAAAAAGTTTTGTTGTTGCTTTGGTTTTTGTTTGGTGGTTTGTGAAACAAATGCTTATTCTGGTCGCCTTCCCAGTATGCTCTGTGATGCAAACGTCATAGAAATAGCTTTATGGATACCTGCAGCCTTGTGACGTGTAAATTATGGGAAAGGGACAGAGAGACCAGAGGAACCTGCAGTTCTGACCCCTTGGGGAAGCAGGTTCTTCGACACTTGAACAAAACCACTGGGTTCTGGTTCACGTGCCTGTGTGCTGTGCTGATGGAGAGGGTAGACCCTTGGTCTGACTCTGGGTTCCGTCCCCACCCGCCTGCAGTTGACCAGGCTAAGTTCTGCTGAGCTGGAAGCGGCCCAAGTGAGTGGATGGAGAGGCAGAAATGCAAGTCCCCTTGAGGGTTTGGCAAACCCCTGCCATAAAGGCTGTCCTTGCATGCCATGACCTTGAGGAGCTGGTGTTGGAACCAGGCCACTCTCCCTGGCACCTCTGCCTCTGCCACAGCTGGATAAACGCCAGCAGGGCTTAGCGTAGGAACAATCACAGGAGGGCTCAGAATTCCGGCTAGGGCAGGATGGCAACCCAGTGACGGCAAGCCAGCAAGGGGCAGACTTGTCCTCCCAGGAAAATGGTGGCACTTTAAGGGCCCTGCAGTGGGTAGTGAGGCTGTGGGGTGGGTGTCCTGGGAAGAGCAGCTGTGACAGCAAGGCTCAGCTGGGCACGGGGGCTGGAGTCCCTTTCCAGGGTGAAGCTCCCTCATGCACAGCCGGAGGCAACATCAGAGGCTGAGCACAGGCCAGTGCCCAGGGGGAAGTCTGCTACCACACACAGGCCTGCTGCAGCAGCCAGGTAACCATCTGTGCCATCTGCTGCTTCAAGCAAGAGCTCATGAGGAGCGGTGTCCCTGTCTGAGCCACTATCTTGGGGCAGTTATCAACTGAAAGCCCCTTCACTAGGGGAGGTGGTTCTCAACTGCAAGCAAACGGCCTGTGGTATGGCCATGTGCATTTAACTAGTGGACTGGGGCATGCCACGCCCTCGTGGAAGGGCTGTGAGCTTACAGTGGTGACTCAGCGCTTTGTCCCGGGGTTGCTGGCTTTCCAGTTCAGGAAGAATGGAAACCCTACTGCTGGGGAAGGTTGGTAATTCTGTTGCTCAGCTGAAACCCACACAGTCCCCGAGACATCATTTCATGGAAACTGCTGTCTGGGCTTCTGTAGAAGCAGGGCTGCTCATGGCCTCCATGGACAGTCAGCCCAGTCAAAGAAAACACACTCTCCCCAGACCTCTGTGCTGTCGTGGTGCCCCCCCCCCCAGCTGTGGGTCATAAATGGTGGTGGAAGACTTCAAGGGCGGCCAGGGGTCAGCACCTGGTACTCTCCAGGAGCAGCAAAGAAGGCCACGACTGAGTCCAGAACCTTTACCCAGAACCTTTAATAACAGCAGACATGGCGCATAAGGCAAACGGCGAGCTACAGGGACGCGTCTTGGTGTCTCCTGGCTTCTGAGCAGACGCTTAGCAGCAACCCCAGAAGCCGGTGGGGAGATCTCTGATATGTCTGCTGGGGTGGGAGGAGTCTCCCAGGAGGCTAGCTGAGAGTAGGGACCCACCAGAGCTGCTGTGAGGAGCCACCCCCAGCTGCTGGCAGTGCATGTGCCGTCTGCACTCCAGTGGCCTCTGCAGCAGCTCTCCAAGGGCCTCCTGGTCCTTCCTGGTCGCGTGGTGCTGACAAGTTTCTCCAGTGCTCGGGCTGTAGAGAAGGCCTAGCAAGACCGGGCCAGCAGGGGGCGCCCGCCCAGCAAGAGCTAGAGAGCTGCTGCTTGCTGGCCCTCTGATGTGTGCTTCAAAGTCCTCCCTGGGATGGGGGCTGCAAGGAGGCTCAGCTTCAGCTAGACAGTGGATGTCTGAGGCCTGACTGTCTTGAGCTGGGAAACCTTCATGCCACAAAAGCACATATTGGTTGGAGGTGTGTCTCAGGGGAGCACACAAAACCACATATTGGTTGGAGGTGTGTCTCAGTGGGAGCTCACTTGCCCAGCAGGCATCTGAGGACCCAGGTTTCATCTGCACTGGGAAACAAGACCAAGAACCATGAGTACCTCAGGGCTGGTCTCAGTATTATTCTGGCTAGAGGTGGGTCAGCCCCCCCCCCTTTTGTTTTCAACTGCCTTGGTCTCCAGAGCACAAAGCTTCCCCCACCCCAATGGCTTTTTGCCGTCTACAGACCCAGTGTGGCCTGTCCTGGCCCACCTCTCTACCATGCTGCTTTTGGCTAGTATCTGCTGGGATAGGACTCTGCCTGGTCTCTGTACAGGCATGCTGGTGCCTGGTCCACGGGGATTCTGAAGAGCTATGCACACAAATGCTTTTCCTGACTGACTCTCCTGGCCACTGTGGATCTACCTGAACATTCTGCAGGCAGAGCGGGTGAGCTGTGGGTGCTGAGGGAAGAGGTACCACGCCAGTCAGGCTCAGGAACTGAGCTCCTCAACCCCATCCTCACCAGGGAAGGATGGATGTACCGAAGAGAGCAGCGGGTGAAATGGAGCAGTCCTCACAGGTAAGGGTCTGTAATGGGCTGTGAGAACCACAGAGGAGGGCTGGACTGGGTGGGGTCAGGAGACCACTCTGAGCGCTCGCCAACACGTGAGGCTCTGGATCCCACCCTCAGCACTGCACACAGACCAGAGAGGTGAGACCCTGCCCCTAGAGTGTGGAGCAGCTCCTGTCACAGGCTGAGGTGGAGGAGCTGCTCCTGGAAAGCTAACTTGGAGTTGTCAGCATATGCTCATGTCCCCAGGTGTAAGGAGAACAGCAGACGCTGTGTGGCCATGGCCACCCGGTAGAGCACTGCCCCCAACTCCCACTGTGTGTGGAGCTTCCTCAACTCTAGCTTCTGTAAACTGCCCTCCCACTTCTCCGGGATGTGCTGGCCTAAACACTGTCATAGGGGAAAGACAGCGCTAGGTCATAGCTGTACCCAGCCATGGTGTCACAAGGAGAGCGGCAGACAGGAAGACAGCTCTGAAAGGCCAGTTGGTCCACTGCAAACTCATAGGCATGGATCAGGCCACGATGTCTAGAGGAAGCAGAGATGAACACCAGTCAGCAAGGCTGCTGTGGCACAGGCGTGCCGTCTAGGCTAGCCCTCCATTGTGACGGTATTTGTGCAGAGCCCACACTATCAGATACGCAGACGCCACAACTGAGGTGAGCAGGGAGCCCCAAGAGACAATGTTTAAGAAGAGGCATCTGAGGGGCCCAGCACAGAAGACTTGCCTGTCTGTGTGCCAATTCTCAGGATGTGCCCAGACCCTCACTGACCTCCTGTGACAGGCGAAGTTGTCCATATCGGAGTTCCGCACCACCTTCTCATAGGGCACATTGGCAGTGATCAGGCTGTGGCTATTGAAGGAGACGTGGCGCACAGGGTGCCTGGAGCCATGGGGAAGAACACTGTAAGGCTGGAGAGCCTGCCCTGGCTGTCTATCCTGGAACTTTCTAGGCAAACTTTCCATTATGACGTAGCAGACATGAGCCAAGCCTTTGTCTGGCACCATTTTGCATATACCTGCACCCTTTACATATTTCAGCCAATTTCACACCAAGCTGATGTGTTTGGGATATGAGGATGTTCAATTTGAGCCAAACCTGCAACATGGCAGATGTTGATGTAGCCAACAGAAGTGATGGCTACAACTGATAGCTACACTGTGATTCAGGAGACAACAGAGTGTAGTCTCCTGGAAATGGGTGCTTGTCCTCAGAGGTTTCAAACCAGGTGAGGTGAGGTGGCTCTGCACCTCTGCAGAAAGGAGTCCCATGTCACCCCAACTGGGGCTGACTGAGGCCACCGGGGAGCAGGCCTTCTGGCTGGAGGGTGACAGGAGAGTGATAAAGGAAGGGCTCGGCAGGGAAGGCAGGTGAGGGGGTCAGACAAGCAGCCAGATTGAGCTGGGTGCTGACCAGGACTCCTGCAAGAGAAGGCCTCACTTCCCTGGGTCTCCCTCGAGTGCTGGAAAGATATGCTGGGCGTGGGCATCCTGAAAGGGTCACTGCAGAAGCCCAGGAAGGACAGTGCTGTCCTGGAGGTGCAGAGAACCAGCTCTCTACTGGTTTTCCTGAAATTGGGGCAAATGTGTGTGGGAGTTTGAGCTACCCTTTGGCGCCACCTGGTGGCAGTATGGCGCATCACCATGGATGTTAGGGAAGGGTGCGTTAAGAGCAGTGTGATACGGCTGGGGTCTGATAAAAGCTGTTGGCCAGAGAATTCACCAACCTGTAAATCAAAAAAAAAAAAAAAAAAAAAGGCAAAGGCAGAGCCACCTTGCCGTTGTGTCTGGGCGGGAGAGATACATGCTATGCTCTTCCGTGGTGCATTTTCACAGCACCACATTCTCTTTACAGAGGAGCTGAAGCTCAGCTACACAGGACTGGGGCATGTGACCGGTGGGAGTTCCAGGTTGCTTCTAAATTCAAAACTGAGGCAGGCCCACAGGAACAATTTACCAGGAGGCACCAGTCAGAGTCTCCCCTGCTCAAGGCTGCATGAGCTGCCTTAAGTGGCGCTACTTAAGTTGCATACTATGTGCCCAACTTCATAGTGAGAGAAGGGGCAAACCACACATCTGGACACCCAGTCTGGCACACGGGGACACATGAACCCATCCGCCTTCACACTGGAAATTATTTTCACCAAGCTGGCTTCCTCAGGAACCTACAGTAACCACATAGCTGTGGAAAGGTTCATTCTAAGAAACTAGGACGCTCAGCAAGGCCGCGTGTTACTCAGGGTGATATTAATAGGGAAGAGAGAGGAGCTGAAGTCTCAGGACTGGGCTTTCTAGGTCTCTCCTGCAAAGATGCTTTCAGGAAGGCGGCAGCGTGGGCACAGGTGGCCTGGGGACGCCCACACACTGCAGGCCAGCTTACCTGGAGTGAACCTCCCACAGCTTCTGGTTCATGCGGTAATCCCACACGGACACCAGCCCCTCCTCGCCCCCGCTGACAATCTTCCAGTCGTCCATCTGGACTGCAGACACCCCCAGCTGATGGGCAGACAGTGACAGGGCGATTTTATCACTGCGGAGGTCATGGAGCCTGACTCTGGAAGATGCAAGAGGGGCACCAGGAGGAGAGGGTTAGTGGGGAAGCCTGCAGCCCCCGCCTGCTTCAGCTGTGTGGTCCCTGGGTCCACATGGGACAGTCACAGGTCCAACCTGATGCATGTGCAGAGGACGAAGGTGGCTATTGCAGTTCTGTGCCAGAAAAGTTGATTTCGGGACAAATTTTATCAAAGCCATAGGGGCCTAACTTCCTTTTAACAGACAGCACGTTTTATGGATTTCAAAATCTGCTTCCCTGGTCTCTATAATCTCCCCAGCTTTTCTGTTTGAGTTGGTTTTTTTTTTTATCTGCAAAATTGAAAATTTAGATGAAGTGACTTTGTGACTTTCTAGGAAAGAACAGATTAAGTGATAAAGAGCAACGGCTAGCCAGGTGTGTAAGGGGCAGCTGCCCACAAGGGCTCTGAAATCCAGGCAGACAACAGAGCACCTCTGCAGCAACAGAACCACAGGAAGCCCCTGCAGACTAGCTGAGCTACCACGTACTGCACACAGAAGAAAGCCACAGTCAGCTGTACGAGGGCTGAAGCAAGCCCCTGCTCTAACAGGAAGAAACCTGCAGTCAGCTGCACGAGGGCTGAAGCAAGCCCCTGCTCTAACAGGAAGAAACCTGCAGTCAGCTGCACAAGGGCTGAAGCAAGCCCCTGCTCTAACAGGAAGAAACCTGCAGTCAGCTGCACGAGGGCTGAAGCAAGCCCCTGCTCTAACAGGAAGCCTCCAGACAGCCAGGCTCGATAGCACCGTCCCTGCCCATTGCTAAAATGGTGAATGACACCAGGAGAAACAGCAGTTTATCCATATCAATATGCCCAACTCAACATTAAAAATTATGTTTGTGTGTGTGCACCACATGTGTGCAGTGCCTGCAGAACAGAGGAGGCCATGAGATCCTACTTGTCATATGGGTGCTGGGAATTAGACTTGGGTCCGCTGGAAGAACAGTCTGTGCAGTCCACTGCTGAGTCACCTCTCCAGCCCCAACAGCTACATTCTGAATAGACGACCACTAATTGTTAAAACACAGTCAAGGAGTTGGAGAGATTGTTCTGCAGTGAAAGCAGGGATTGCTGGTGGACAGGACCTGAGTCTGTTGTCTGCCCGACATACCTGTAACTCCAGCTGCTGGGGCCCCAGTGCCCTCTTCTGACCTCTGGGCACGATAAGATCTTAAATGGACTTCAGTTTTATGAAAACAGTTAATGTCAATATGCTGTGTTTTCTCAACTCAGAGCTGAGTTACATATAATACCAGCTACCTGAGAGGCTGAGGCAGGAGGATTACAAGTTTCAGGCCACCTTCAACAGCTAAGTGATATTCTGTGTCAAATAAAAGTGTGTCTGGAATGTAGCTTGGTGGACGAGCTCTTGCCTGACCCGCGGAGGAAGGACTAACAGAGTCTGAGGCTGGTCTGCGCTGGGCAGCAAGACCTTGTTTCAAAAACATAAAAGAGGAGTGGGAGGGGCTCCTAAACATAACACCCACAGGCCGCCCTGAAAAGATCATACCAGATCTTCAGATGATGAACAGGAGTCTACAGCAGAGGCTCCTTCCTCACCGGTTCCTCCAAGTTCACAGTGAGAGGAAAGGAAAGGCAAGGGCATCTCTTGAACATACTGTGTCCAAGTCCACTGGTCGTAAGAAGTAAAAACGGATGCTACCCTATATCACCTCTCTTCAGCAAAAACAGAGCCTGTTACACACCTCACACGTTGGTCCTGACGGTGAGACCCAGGGCTGGTGCACACACAAACTCCTCTGCAGGGACTGAGCTCGAGTCCCCCAGGGTGAGGGCTAGGCAGGACTGGCTTAGAAGGCATTCCCACTTGGGTGTTTCCAAAGTAGACACATTCGGCCGCCATGGCTTTCCACCTTGATAGACCATATTTTCAAACCCTGAACTCAAAATAAACTCTTAAGCTGTTTCTGTCACAAACATGAGAAAACATGATGAACGCCGTAAGGACACTCGGGCTCCTGTGGACTCGCCCCGTGTGCTGATCAACACAGCCCAGGGACAGGCTTTGGTTTCAGACAGCTCGGGCAGCCTCCCCCTACACTACAACAAAAAGAACACCCTTTACTGCTCTGCTAGCTCGGGAGCCGCCTCTCCACTGCCGTGAGAACAGCAAAGCATTTCGAGCTGAGCAGCTGTGTGTGTTGGGGGTGAGGCTGCTGCCCTCAGTCCACACTGCAGCAGTGAGGAGCCATGCAGCACCTTGACTCTTGCTTTAAAACAAGCATGCATCTTTCAGAATGAAGACACAGACCCTGAACATGAACTTCACAAGAAGGAGCACAGCACGACCAGCAGCAGCGACACGGAGCGCAGGTGCATCACACCTAAAGAAGGTCCTGGAGAAAAATGGGCTGATGATGCCCAGGGTTAGTGCTAGTCAACACTGTCACGACAAAAACTACGTTCTGGAACCTGTCATCTTAACAATGGGAGCATAAGAGAAGTCTTCAGCAGCCTGGGGGAGAAGGAATTACCTGTTAAGAAATGATCATTAGACTTCCGGGGAGATTAGAGGCAGCATTAGAGATGCCATGAATTTGAACGACGGGATGGGGATGCATCCCTTCAGGCAGCCACAGGCCACGCCAACACCGGAGCACTGGCAGACATTCAGAGCTCTACCTGTCAGCAGGTGACATGTCTACACCGTCTGCAGAGGGGCCGGGGGAAAGAACTGCTCAGCTGAGGCAGAGGTCACGGGCCAGTCCTCCTGAAGTGTGAGCAGGTGTGCGGCGACAGGCAGCTGTCATGGGGCTGCGCGCGCTGAGGCCCCTACTGCACTTGCTTTTAGGTGAGGAGCATGCTTCCTATCAACACGGTTCAGAAGTTAAATGCTAACAGCAGCTCCTTGGGAGGAGAGGTGGGGAGGCAACCAAAGCCTCCAGGGAGGTTTCTGCTTTATTCCAGACATGACCATGCTGTTTAAAAATCAGGTCTCAGAGGGTGTTGGCTCCACCCAGGTGTGCACAAATGCGCACACCTCATTTGTTTCAGATGGTTTATCTGTTTTATAGCTAGTTATAAGTAGGTATAACATGGAACCACAGAAGTAGGGCATCATGGTGCAATCTAGAATCCTAGTACCAGGGAGGTATAGGCACAAGGACCAAGAGTTCTAGGTTGTTCTTGACTACATGGCTGTAACAAAGTAAGTTCAAGAAAACCTGTTGTAAAAAACATACTACCACCATTGACAAAGAAATAAATCAAACAACAGACAATCACAGTCTTGCGATGCAGAATCAAGGCCACACGGCAAGATGGCAGTGCAGGCTATGGCTACAAGTGTCGCTCATTCCCTGTCTCCAGTGAGGGAGCTCTAAGTGCACACAGCTGCTTGTCCTCGGGCCTCTGGAGGCCAAGAGACCCAAGGCTGTGGGGCACACAGGAGGGAGCCTGGGGGAAGCCCAGCATGGGCTTTTGAAAAAGATGGGGGTGGAGTGTAAGTTGGCTAGTTGGGTCTATCAAGAGCCCCTCTGTGAGTGTTTACAGTGTGGCTGTAACACGCGGACACGGGTAAACACATTTGGTCCCTTAGTTCAAAGTTTGCCGTCTGTTTCTCTGCTGTGTTTAGAGAGCGGCATGATGGTGTCAGATGAAGACAACAAACACCAGAGACAGCAGCAGCTCAGGTTCACTAGGGAAACAGAACCCACCCCGTGGAAGACCACTTTTCTGACATCTTAGAGAGACATCTGGCTTCTTGTCTCAGATAGAACTGAGTCCTGTCCACCCAAGCCATCAAATTCACATTAGGAAGCAGGTATCAGCCCAGAGCATCTGACAAAGTGCAGTACCAGCCCCAAAGGCAGCATGCCCTGGCAGAGCCGGCAGCCTCAGCACTCAAACCGCAGATTCCATGCTGGGAAACAGGTAGCCTAGCAAATGGGTGGAGACGTGCCAGGCTGACCGATTCCAGGGACAAGAAGGGGCCAATGGTGGATACTGCGAATCCTCATCTAGTGAGTATCACCAACTTTGCTTGCTGAAAGAAAAATAATTGGTCTGAAAGCTATAATTGTCTTATGTTTAATATTCATGGATGGGCTTGGAGGACAGCCCCAGCACCCCCCCTCTGCAGCATCCACTAATGAAAACCGCACCATAGGAGGCAGCTTTAGCCCGCCAATTAAAACAAAAGACACCAGAACCTTCCAAAGACTCCAGCAGAGGAGCATCCATCAGATGGGCAGGAAAACGCGCTGGAACGGAGAGGGAGGCACGCTCTGGTTGGTCCTGTGTGAAGAGCTTTGAATAACTCATTATAACACTTGCAGATGGAGTGAGCGTAATGTTCGCGCCCTGCACGCGCCCTGGCAGCAGGCACCACACAACTTTCTGTGTGCTGGGCAGGAAGGAAGCGAGAAGACTCTCATTGGGGGGTCACACCTTGGACTCCACAGTCCTGTATGATAACAAGGAGGCTGCGCTGGCAAAGCCAGCAGCGGCCAGACTCTGGGTTGGCTGTTTTTCAGGAAGAACGCAACTTTGGCTACAGTCAGATCCAGAAAATAAAGGTGAATGCACGGAAATCATTAACACACAAGCATTTTAAAATTATGACTAAATTAATTGGGAAAACTGGTATTTTTAAAAGGTTAGTGCACGCGTCCGCCTGACCTCGCTGTCCCCGAGCTGTGGAGGAAGGCTGCTCATAGGTGTATATGCAGAATCCATGCCTCACTCACAGCACCGAAGCCAGGCTTCTGAGAGTGTGCACCTTAATAGCAACGGGAAACACATTTTCAGATGCATGGCATATCCAGCTTTGTCCAGCTGGGCTAAGCTTAGCATGTTCTGGGCCAAACCATCATTGTGGTGTGAGGTTTCCACAAGAAATACAAGCAGCTGTCCCTTTGGGGTGACCCCCGGAGCTCTTAGCACCTGATTCCTCAAGGAATCTTCTAAACCCTAAGCTCTGCGGCTCACAAAAAGCCAGCCTGGGACAGCAATGATGGCCAAAGCAAAAGCTGGAAATACTGACACTTTTAGCTAATATTTCCACTTTAACTCTGTCAGTGAGAATTAGCCCAGCAGAATACTCAGGGCAAGCCTGGTGACCCGAGTGTCATCCTTAGAACCTTCATAAGAATGGTCAGAGAGAACCCATGTCACAGCTGTGTCTGTGGGCACACGAGTGCAGGTGCCTACAGAGCCCAGAAGAAGGCATCTGGTCCCCTTAGCAGGAGCTCCAGGCAGTTGTGAGTCACCTGCTGTGGGTGCTGGGAGTCAAGTTCAGTTTCTCCACAAGGGCTGTGCATGCTCTTAAGTTGAATCATCTTTCTGCCCATTTTGTTTTTTTTATAAAGAGCCTCACTATACAGTCCAAGCTGTGCTGAGACTTGTGGCTAACCTCCCAGGCGGCACACCACCACACACAACTCTGACACAGAGGTCCTCCCTTCATGTACGGAGACTGTTTGCAAGCCTGGCATTTGGAAGGATGTTGACTCTACCTAGTACACCCTAACCAAAAGATGCAGGGAAGCCCAGCCAGGGACTGGTGAAACATAAACAGGGCAGAACTGGAACTGGAAGCACACTCAATTTTTATGGTCATTAATGTTTAAGAATGGAAAGAACAATCTTGAAAACAAACAGTGCTGAGACAACTGAGTACAAAGCCGCACCCCTACCTCACACTATACCCCAAATTACCTAGCAGGTCTTGCATTTCAAATATAAGACATTAAATTATAAAACTCAAGAAAACAGACTAATAATCTTAGAGTAGGAATTTTTACAAATAAGTAATAACACAAGCAATAGATAACACGAGATAAATCACACTCCATCAACATTTAAAGTCCATATTTTAAAGACCATTTTCAACAAGTAAACATAGCTTATACAAGAAGAAGAATTACTTGCACATGACAGATCTGACAAGGGATCTACAGCTGGAAAACTTGAAAAGCCCATCACAACACAACAATAAAAGTCTCAATTAAGAACAGGATTTGAGTGTGAGTGTGGTAGCTCATGCCTGTAGTTCCAGAGCTCAGCAGCAGACACAGGGCGGCCTAAGTTCCACAAAGCAAGAGCTAGGTCAGTTTGCTACACAGTGAAACCGTATCTCAACTTGCACCCTGACTCAAAAACAGGATTTTGATAGTCACCTCTCCACGGAAGATGTGCAGATGAACCGTAAGACAGGAAAACGGGTCCTTAGGCACCAGTATGATGCAAATCAAAGTACGAGGAGATGCCTCACAAACTAGGTTGACTGCCACACAGATTGAGGGTAATACATGGGCTGAGAAGATAGAAAAACTGGAAGATTCCCCAAGGCCAGGACAGGCAGGATGAACAGCCAAACAAGAAGAGTGTGGCAATTACCACTGAAGCCAGCACTCAATTCCTAGGTGTCTATACCCAAGAGAACTGAAGATACACAAAAAACTACACAGGAATTATAATGGTCAAAACTATTAAGAGATTTAATTAATTAGATCACTCAGATGTCCACTGGCCTAACAAGATGGACAGAATGATGTCTGTCAATGATGGATATTAGTTGGCTATTAAAAAGAAGTGACTAATGTTTGGATACAAGCTACCACATGGGCTTACCTTGAAAACACTGGACTAGGTAGGAATAAGTCATAAAAGGCAATGCCAACCATTTTTATGTGTGTTCACAGATAAACGCACACCAAAAGAAAGTCACATAATGGTTGCTCAGAGTGGAGGTGTGGGGGAGGCAGCAGTGACAGCTTCCAGTGCAGGGCTTCTCTCTGGGGTACCACCCTGAAATTGATGGCATTTAAGCTGGTGGGTCACATGGCACATGAGTTCTACCTCAAGGAAGTGGTTCTGAAAATGAACTCGTGCTGGGAAGGCGGCTTTGTGGGTAAAATGCTTGACAGACAAAAATAAAGACTTGAGTTTGGACTCTCGAGATCCAACTAAAGATGGACACAGCAGCACATGTCTGTAATCCGGCTCTCCTATGGTGACATGAGAGGTAGGGACAGGAGAATCACCAGAAGCTGGTGATTGAACACATAGCCAACATGGAGGAAGTGAAGCTGAAGACAGTGTTGTCCTTTGATCTTCACACTTGTGCTGTAGCAACACCCACCCCTCACTGACACACGGATGTACATGCACAGACACACACACACGGATATACACGCACAGACACACACGCACACACACACATGGATGTACACGCACAGACACATGCGCACACACACACACGCACAGACATGCGCGCGCACACACACAGACACACACACACACTAAGTAAGCTGTATATCTGGGGAGAGTGACTAAGAGATCGTGGTCAATGTGCCTTAGCACCCTGACAGTTGCAGTCTCGTCCCAGCACTGACCCTGGTCCTGGCTCTCCCTCCCTCCATCCACTCCTGACCGTGGGTTTCACTGTGGAGGCACACAGGGAGGAAGGGAATCTTACGGAACACAGTCCTGTGCCACCAGCTCCAATTTTTCTCCACTCACTGACAGGAACTCGGAGGCTCTCGGGCAGTCTGGCTGACAGACTGCAGCCGAGTACCCAGGGAGTGGCTCTGCCATGGGCTTCCTTCCCACTGCTTCAGTGCTTTCTTGTGGTCCTGCCCTGAAGAGGGGTTCCCAATACAACTGTAGGATGGGGCAGAAATGGGTTTAAAAGGAAAGAGCAGACTAGGACTTAGCTGTGAGGACACTGGTCACTGCTGCTCCGGCCTGCACATGGAAGAAGACTTACCCCTAGGGGCTTTCAAACCTTTTAATTCTTCCACAGAATTAAAATTATTATTTACATAGCTGGACTCTTAGATGAGGCAGGGAGTCTTGGCTTTTCCTCAGAAGGCTAACTGTAAGCCCTCACTGAAGACACAAGTCCAGGTCCATAGACTAGGTTTATTCTAAGGGGAGTGGGGGTGGGGCTCTAATGCTGAGGAACCCTGTTCGGGCCTGTCATCTCATGATTGATGTTGTATTGAGAACCCTGGGACCTCCCTGCTTTATTTTAAATACTTAATTCCGCTACATCCTAAAAAAATGGGTTTCTCAAAATCAAATTTAGGCTCCACGCTGACCAGAGGGCACGTGGCTCCTCATCTAGTTATGATATGTGATGAAGTGGGTACACACTAGAGGGAAAATCAGTATTACTGAGAATGCCTACATGCTCTGGAGGACAGTTTGCGGCGAGAGACAGCTAACAGTGGCTGTGACATTCTGATCTGGTATAAGGTCTTCACACATGAGGGGCTCCTCTGCTCTGGAGCAGGGCCCTGGGTTCCTGCCAGCACCAAGAAGCTCATATTGTACACACATCCTGGGCAGAGTCCACTTCCCAGGCCTGATACTAGGAGGTTCCTAAGAGCCCCTGACATTTGCTCCACTGGAAAACAGTGGAGACAGCTCAGCTCACAGGATGTGGTTTGTTCCCCTGGCCACACACCAGGGGTGACTTGCAAAGCCTAGGCAGCAGTTGTGTTGGTGTGTGTGTGTATGTGTGCAAAGGCATGCATGTGTGTAGTATTTGCATGTATGCAACTGTGAGTGAGGGCATGTGGAAGTCAGAGTCAACGCCAGCTGTCCTCAATTGCCCTCTACTTTATCTTCTGAGAAAGGCTGAACCCAGAGCTCTCTGATTTGCTGGCCACTGAATTCTGAGGATAGCCATGCCCGTTTCCCCTCCCCTCAGGGTCACAGATGAGTGTGACAATCGCTTCTGTGGTTGTTACTGTTTTTAGAAAGGGTCTCAGTATGTAGTTCTTACTGGCCTAGACCCCCACTACATAGACTAGGTGTGAACTCATAGGGAGCTCACAGAGATTCCCCTGCCTCTGCTTCCCAGGTGCTCTCGTGCTCACTTTGTTTGTCTTCCTCCCTCCCTCCCCTCCTTCCCTCCTTCCCCCCCCCCCCCCCCCCCCCCCCCCCCCCCTTTTTTTTTTTTTTTTTTTTTAACATGGGTTCTGGGATCCAAATTTAGGTCATGTTTGCCCCGTAGTCATTTACTGGCTGAGCTAACTCTCCAGCTGCTGAAGCTTTAGCACAGCACACTCAGAGATCCATTTGCAAGCCCCACGTTCTGAGTCACCGGAGGAGTCCCTGTGAGAGAGGGACAGAGCCTTCTCCCCACAAAGCACATTCAGGCTCTTTGCTCTAGGTGGGGCGGGCTGGGGTGGGGTTCAGGATACAAACACTATGTGATCCAATAGTGGCTTCTGCAAGCTGCTACTCTGCTGGGACAGAGCTCTGGGGTCTGGCACAAAGAAACCCCAGAGCCGAGCAGCCCCGCACCTGCAGCCCGGGGCTGGGCCCAGGGGAGGGGTGCCAACTGCCCTGGCGACTGGCCAGTCTACCCCTCTCTGGGGCACTGAACCAGACACAGCAGGTAACTAGCCAAAAAGCAGAGAGAAAGCAAAGGAGAAGACAAGACAAGGGGGGGAGAAAACTAAACTTTGGACTGGAAGGGTCTTTTTAAACACTAATCCTGCGGCGCTAAAGGCTGGCACTGGCCCCTGGACCAGGAAAACCGACTTCCGCAGCCAGTGTGTTAAAGAGAAGGCCGCTAATCAGCTAAATAGAAACTGGAACCTGTTCCCATCAAGTCTCCGTCACCAGAGGGACACAGTGCTCTGAAACACACTCTCGGCACCACTTGGCAGGCAGCCCTAGTGTGCTGAGCACGGCCAGTCTCTTAGGTTATTGTTTTTAATATCAGAAAGCGAGCTTTTCTGTGCCAAACAAATTCTGTAACAGGGGGACAAAAGATATTCCAAGTGGTCTCGCTGGACCATCCACCAACTGCCTGAAAAGAGGACCAACCATCCTGTGTGCTTCAGAAGCGAAGCGGAGGCATAGAAGGTCCAATTATTACCTAATGCAAGACTTTGCTCCAAGTCCAGAGGGTGGAGTGGGGGCTGGGGACGGCAGGCACGGCTGAAGCATGAGGCACTCACTCAGGGCCGCAGGTGACCTTCCTTTCAGCCCGGACCTACCTCCTGTCCATGTTGCCGCTGACCATGAGGTGGGGAGGGCTGTCCCGGAGGTTGACACAGGTGAAGTCACCGAGCGCATTGCCGAGCTTTGAGAGGCAGCGCTCTGCTTCCAGACTGTATACCAGGATCTGGGGGGAGAGCACAGGAGTCAGTCTCCCCGGCGGGGACGTCACACACTTCTCACTGTGCCACCTCTGAGGAATGAACATTTCACCCTCCCCAGAAGACACTGGGCTTGGACACTTCCCAGGGGCATAGCTACTCAAGAGACAAAAGACCAAGACAGGGAAACCAAAGAGGTCCTTGGCCAAAGCAAAAGCAGGAGAAAGAGACACAGGAATGGCGGGTCAGCAGCCTGCTTTCCCCACACAGCTGCACTGAAGCCCAGCCCAGGTGATTGTTTTCTGTGTGTTTGAGAGGAAAGAAGGCTACAGGTCACTGGCTTTGAATTCAGAGTTAACTGAGGAGCGTACAGAGGCCCTAGGAAGCTGTACCAGACAGTGTACGGAGCTACGGCCCACAGCACCTTCTTCTGCCTTCTTCCCCACTCTCCCCTCAGTTTGGCCATGAAAGCTGATGAGAAGATGCCTGTGGGCTCCACACGGTGCAGTCCTCCTGGAAGGTGTCTGCACTGCTTCCTCAGCAAAGGGGAATAAAGGACGGACCGCACAGAAGCCCTGAGAGTTAGTGCAGGACACAGGCCTCCTCACTGCACCTCTGCTGACTTCTGCTGAGCACCTCAGCGGCACTCCTACAGAGACCATGGTTAACCCAGACACTTCTGAGCGAAGAGTCTTATGTTGGTCCTGAGAATCCTAACAAGTTAAATCATCTCCTCCGTGGGAACAGTACACATTTCTACACCTGAATCGTTAAGACTCTGCGGTTGTCTAACACCACGGCCACAGCTACTGCTAACACTGGAAGGAAAGACAGCAGAAGTCACAGAATCTCAGCACTAATGCACAAGCCAAGATGCAGCTAAGATGAAAAGTTCCTGACAGAAAGTCAGGTTTGTTTACTTTTTTATTTTAAAAACAGGGTCTTGCTATGCAGTTCTGGCTGTCCTGGAACTCAGCCTGTAGATGAGGCTGCCCTTGATCCCCCTACCTCTGTCTCCTGAGTGCTGGAATTAAAGGTATGTGCCATTCCCAGCTCCTGACAGAAAGCTGTTTCTAACAGAGACGTGATCAAATCCATCTTCAGCAAATGAGCTGGACATTATCACAGGTGGCTCCTCAAGGATAGAGAGTGAAAACCAGCAACCCGATGGTGGTGTCTTGAAAACGTCCCCAGCGGAAAGACACTCCAGTGCCCGGCTCTGCATGCACCCCGACAAGAACAACTACTGGGTGACAGTTTTAAAAGAGCAACTCATCTTTTTGGAGCAATCATTTTGGATTTAATTATCATCACAGATTTCAATATTTTGGATTGATCTGTTTGTTTTTAAGGTGTACCAGTGTACACAGCAGGAAGGCAGACAGACCTACAGGAGCAGGCAGAGGTAAAAGTACAAGGATCGAGGCTCACACAAGCCAGCAGCAGCCTCCACTATTTTTCCAGTTCTTTTTTGACAAGTGGATCAATCATCTCTGAGTGGTACAGGGAGATAATCCCCGCCAAAAAGACTGCAAATTCATCATAAAGACATCTAAGTCAGCAGTCAAGGATTTCTAAAATGTTCAATAATTCAACGGATCAGAACTATCCAAAGAGAACCTTTACCATTGCGTTTAGTTAAAGACCACAGAGATTGGAAAACACATTACCATCTCGAAGGCAGGTCTTCCACACTACAAGTCCCTTAACGACCTTTACCATGGCTCCCTCCCTCCCACTCTCTCTCTCTTTTAATAAGGTTGAGCAAATGGGACTTCATTTTATCTGATTGCCACAGACGAGTGATATCAATTATTCATGCTCACACTCCCTCTTGTTAAGACCATGCATTAGACGAATTTTTCTCTTTATTGCCCTGCTTGGGTGAGTCTTAACCCATGACCACTTGAGTTGTTCTCAGAGGTGTTCAGAGATGCTGGAGAGAAGGGGAAACTCCCCCCAGATGCAATCTGGGAGCAGATGCTCAGCACTAATGTGGCCAGCGAGTCGATAGAGCGGCCAAGCAGCAAATGCAGGTTCAGCAGTGTTAGCAGCAATCACGGTGCAAGCATGTGCTGTCATCCTCTGTGTTCCTAGGAGTTCTTTCTAAAGCTAAGCCCTGACTGCTGTGCATCCTGAAGATATCTGCACGAGATGCACTACAAGTGTCACTGTTTTCTAGTGGACCTGCATGACCCCCACGTGAACAAAAGCATCCTCTTCGTAAGGGACTGGGCAGGGAGTTTTCCATTTCTGCTTACGTCCCCCTCTGAGAGCTGAAGTCGTTTCTGATAAAACATAGCTTCCGAATCCTGACTTTCAACTAGTCTGACTGGTCTCAACTCTACTTTTAAAGATATATTACATATGAGAATAAATACATAATTGAAGGGTGTAACCCATCTCCAGGAACCAGCCACCCAGAACAGTCTGGTAAGAACAAGTAGATTTTGAGTGTGAGGGTCTATCTCTCTTGCTCTGAACATACAAGGGTTTCTGTGAGCTTGGTATTTCACAGCTGCTTCTTCACATGTAGCTCTGGTTCTTCTGAATGGAGAACTTTTGTGCATATAAAATCCCATACTGATAAATAAGTTGTTTCTATTCAGTTTTTGTTAAACATTCAACAGTCAGTGACAAACACTTATGCATCCTCTTCTGCAGCAGGACTGGAGTGAATGGGTGTGACAGCCGATGTGCCTGTGCCGGCTGCTGCTAGCCCAGCCGCCCCTCTCCCACACATGAGAGCACAGAGCCATCGTGTTGCTATGCCCTAACAGCTGAGGTCTCAAGCAGGAGGGCTGTTGTACTGGTCACATAGTCAGGATGGAAATGGTCACAGGTCCAATGTCTGGAAAGCATCAGCAACTACTCTGGGCGGGGAGGTCTGTATCTTCTCCATGTGACTGGGTTTGTGTTGGTGTCTAGAGGCTACGGGATTCCAGCCAAATCCTCATGGAAGGGCCAGAAGATGGCTACTACCCTCTCAGTGGGGTTGGTTCAAAGCCTGCCACCCCCTCCTTCACCCTTTGAAACCAGGACTCAGCACAGCAGGTTCTTCCTAAACACAGGGCTGACATCACCCATCTGTGAACATGAGCCACCAACAGACAGAGATGTCTTCAAAGAGCTTTGGAGTCTTGCCAAGAGAGAAACTGTGTCATGTTCTGATGAACAAGGAACACAACTCTGAGTTTAATTTTACCAAAACTGCAGAAAGTGGCTGGCTCACCTCCTCAGAACCTTAGCTACCTTGGCAACACGGTCAGCAGTGGACAGAGCCTCGTCCCACAACAACCGCACTAAGAACCTTTGGAATCCAAGAGCATTTGCCTGCTCCCCTTTAAGCAAGGGGTGTGCTGAATCAAAGACTCAGGGGGAAGAGCTGACCCAAAGGTTGGAGACTGCAGACACAGCTGCCCGCTCCCTCTTTGCCACCCTCCTGGCCTCTTCCTTCACTACCACATACACTTTGCTCTTTGAGGAAAAAGCCATGGTCAGAAGTCAGTTCTGAACAGAGAGCCGGCTCACGCTCCGTCTGCACCCACTTTAAGTGTTCTCTGCCCTCTCCACTACCACCCTCTCAGCAGAGCAGGGGGTGTTTGTTGTCAATGCGCTGCATCTGGTGTTCCCAAGTGCCACCCTGAACATGTCATCAGCTTGCAGCTCGCAAACAAGGAGGGGAAACAGCCCAAGACTGCAGTCTTGAAGGTCAGGTGCGGCTTTGTTACCCAGCCCTTACACACAGTGGAGAGTGCTTCCTCAACCAGGGCTGTAAGGTCCCTGGAGCAGAAATGCTGCTGCCCACCGCCTTTCAGCGTGCCAGCAGGGACCAGATGCCAAGGTAGTTATGTGGGCCTGCATCTTGCTAGGTGTGTGCATTTGTGTTTGGTGATAACCAGCTAGAACTGGTAACCAAGCAAACCTAGAATCCACTCCAGTTTGGGCTTAACTCTTTCCTCCATTAGGTGACCTTGGGGTACCCCAAGGAGATGTCTCATCCTGCCCCAATCCTGTGGGCTCCCTTGTTGTCTGACAAGTTGGCAGACCAGAAAGCCTGGCAGTAGTGGATTTGAACTGTATTTTAATAAGTAAAGACTGCCTGAAGATCTGAGAGTAAAACAGTCCCACTGGTCAGCCTTACAGACCAGATTATGATAACACACACCTTAATCCCAGTAGCCACACTAGTTGCCATAGAAACTGGGCAGGGCATGCTTTTAATCCCAGCCCCAGAGAGGAAGGAATATAAAACGGGGGAAGACAGCTCTCAGATGCAGTCTCCTGAGATTCCAGGAGGCAGGATTGCCATTTCAGACTGAGGTTGAGGTAAGAGCCAGTGACTGGCTGTTTTGTTTTTCAGATCTTCAGGTTGAACCCCAATTTCTGAACCGAGTTTTTATTAATTCGTGTTTCACCTAGCAAACAACTTCTCAAAGTGCAACTCAAGTCTGTTACCAGCCTTTTGCACATTCCATTCACTCAAGAGATGCAGTATAATTCACAGAAGCCCAAGGTGATGGGAGTACTGAGACCAGAAAGGAATGAGGGAGCCTGGCCAGGGGCTACTCTGGGGACACCTGACAATGCCAAGTGGGGACCCAGCATCTGGCAGCACAAAGAACAGCACAGTTGAGATCTCTGTATAAAGCTAGGTCTGTGGGAGTGAAGGGGGGACCATGTCCTGGAGCAGCTCAGCTCAGCTCAGGGGAGCACAATGCTCCCACAGCCCAGAGCCACCAGACCTTTGTGGCACCCACGAATCAATACCAGTCAAGCATTGGCTCACAATAAAGGACAAGTCCTACAGCCGAGACAGAGAGAAGCAGGGATGGGATAACAAGGCATTGGCAGTTTCAGGTAAAGGACACAGAGTCAGCGTGTGGACAGTCACCTACCGCGTGAGAGGGACACAGAGTTAGCGTGTAGACGGTTGCCTACCATGTGAGAGGCACAGCAGACTGAGTGCGTTTGAGGAACTGAACCCAGATTCTAGAAGTCATGGTAGACGGGCAGGGAGCAGGAA